ACGCCGACATAATTAGGAGGTGAGTCGTGTCGATCCTTTTACCCCAACTTTCGACATTTAATTTGCGATAGCGTTCGACGGAATTCCCGCCCTCGGGGACTGTAGCGGTGTTTTTTGAAGCTACAGTACGGGTTTAGCAACCCCGAGGTACCCGAGCTAGAGGGGTGCCAGCTGACCCATATAGATGAGAAGTAAGAGATACTGCAAAAAGTATTAATACAATGCAGGGGTCATGTAGAGTTCACTCTCACTAGTGAAGTTACGAATTTGCAGAGATTGCAGAGCCTTCAATTTTTTGTCAGCAAATATTCGGTAAAAGAGCCCGTAGGTTTCGTTAAGATCCGTTTACTACATTGTTTGGAAAAAATTCGTAATAAATACCTGTAGCCATGGTTAAGGAACGAAGGAAAATGGTTCTGGACAGACAAAGGTTTATTGGGAGTAACATGGTTATATAGAGAGAATGGAATCATGCAAAAGAGCGTTATACAATTGTTGATTTTGCAATTTTACAATTTCCAACCATTGAAATGGGAGAATCATTCTGTACTTTCCCGCTCGTAATTGGCGTCCAGGTATTCTGCTACATGCCTAATTTTCAACGTTCTGGAATTATACGTTGTATTACACTGGTGTTGTCGCTGCCGTTGAATTATGGTTTACAATAAACGGAGGCGCGGTGAGAGAACCGCAACCAACGTTTCCAACAGTATTTACATAGAATGTTTTACGTGACGGGATATTCGTTGCGATTGTTACAACCATGGGTTATTTTTGCGACCATTTGTAACGAGAAAGGAAATCCACTAGTAAGTAGTAATTCCCAGGAAAATGGGATCGAGTGTTCCGGTAGACTTAACACGTTTTCCACCCGCATCGAAGCGATATTTACAAAGGTACTTCGCGTCCCCTTAGCGTGCCGCGACCATTTTACGGCCTACGTTGGTCCGTGCGAGGCGAACGCCACCGAATACATACAAACGTCCATTGATTCGAACATTTTTATCGAATGACAACGGAGTTGAGCGTCGCTTTGCCGAACGTGACCAGAATGAAATCATCGGTTTCTCGTCTGTCGAGGATCGTTCCATGTTTTCAGGGCTATAAATGACACACAATGCGATGGAAAACATAGAAGTTGCAGTTTTTCTCCTCCTCTCGTGGCTCCATTCCCCTCTCGGGCAGTTTTAGAACGAGACTATTTCAGATTGTTTCTTTTTTTTTTTATTCTTTCCATAAATGGCACTTTTCGCCAGGGATTTCGTGTTATCGACCAATTTCATCCGATACAAACTGTCTCGATGATTGTCAGCTGATAGCGAGATATAAAAAATCGTTAATCCAGAAACAATTGCTTCACAGACTGATCGAGACGTTGCATGACGAACCTTGACAACGATTGTATAAAAAATTGCCGAATACAATAGTTTTCTTTTTCGTATAGATTCAACGTCCCATCAACGCCTTAAATACGGTTATTAGCGACGACTGTTAGGAGTGGAAAGTGTGAAATTCTTCATTTTTTCGAATAATTCAGACCGATAATGTAACGAATGTACAATATTCGCTCCGTTACTTTTCAGATAAATAATTTGACCGATATTGGCCGGCCTCCGATTCTAAGCGTCACGCGAACTTTTCTACCTTTCCCGGATGCTCGATATTTCCATCTCGATCGGCTAATAAAATTAACCTTTGCGCGTCACCTCTCGAAAACAGCACCGTGCCGCGATCGATCGTTTACGTCGTTTCTGTTTTATTCATTCGTTTCCTGCACCGTCGCGATCGATTAATTCGGAACAAGACATTTCGTTTTTCCGCAGTTTTATCCGACGAACGGACGCGCTGTTTTTCCAGGATGCAATTTACAATCGGCCGAGTCGTCCGTGTTCCTGCTGCGAGTAGTCGCAATGGGTCCGGGGCGCAAACAGCCATGATTGGCTTCCAACGATCTCCGTCTGGTTATCTAGCTTGCTATTGCTGGTTCGTTCATTCGCGCTTAAGCTTCTTCGCGATTTAGTCGCCGATTGTCTACCGGCGACCTTTTCCTCGTCGGCCGGTCGAGAGTCGAGAATAATTGCATCAGGTATTCATCGTCACGTCTGATCGCGAGTGCCGCAGAAGGTCCGGAATTTAAATTTCCTTACCTTCTGAAGAATTCCTCGTTCGAGGAATTGAACTGTACCGAGTATCGTAACGCGACGATTAAATAATTAGAGGTAATTAAAGTTTCATTCAAAAGTTTAAATTTAAGGCTGTCGCGAGTATTATTTCTTGTAGTATAGGTGACAGAACCTCGCTAAAATTTCACTAAGAAATTAAATAAATTACGAAGACGAGACGTCGAAGAAAATAAATTTCCATAGGATTCACGAATTTGGAGAAATTGCAAGAATAACGACTCGCTTAAACTCGACAAAAATAAGTTCCAATTATACAGAATCGTAGTATTAGGCTCGTATAAATTTTCGCGAATAATTTTGCAGTGAACGTGGTATTCGTGGCTTTAGAAAGGCTGCAGCGTCCGATTTCAGCTTGTTGCCAATATTTCGTGATAATTGCCAAGAGGCTTCAACGATCCAATTTGAAATCGATTCGATTGAAAACTGACGATTCTAACGAACATTACCGTTCGCTTGACAAGGAACGAAGAATCGAAGTTACACAGTGCTACGATGCGAAGGAGTATGTTCTTTAAATTCAAGGAGACAAATTGAGGAACGAGGAGGTTAATTGCAACACGTTGCTTCCTACGCCCGTCATTTTTCGTTCAAGGTTACTCCAGGGAGAATCTGACTGATCCGTATGTTTGAAGCCGTAATTGCACGTCAAGACGATAAATCTCCTCGCTGAAAGAAATTCCTGATCCGCGGCACGCACTCGGGATGGCGACAGGATCGTTCTACGGGAAGGATAAAGGACAGGACGTAGATAAATCGTGGTGTTCTACGGAGAAGGGAGAAAGGGGTGTAGTCCAAGCCATCGGATACACGGGATCGACCCATGGATGTTTTCGTTTCACCCTAGACTGACGTTCTTTTATCTCCTGGAAGAGCTGCCACGAGACAGGGGAACATTTACGTAAACGGCGGAGGATTCTAATTCTATAAAAAAACTGTCAACGACGCCGTAGAGCACGATTTATCCAGCCCGACAGCTTCATGATTTATAATTGTATCGAAAGACAGGAGCAAGAGGAATCGCTGTATTGAAAGTGTCGCTGCATCGAGGTTCCCTATGAATTATTTTTTGCGGAAAAATGGAGTATCATGTTTGAATATATCTTTCGCAGTGAAACTATTCGTTTATACGATAAATAGTGCGATAGTCGAAGGAAGAATCTAACATAGGTCTAGTATTCTGAAATTGTACGTATAAACATTAATATTCCCTCTCTCGAAACAGTTGATCTCTTACGAACGCGGTCCGCAAGAACTGACAGCCGAGTGGACCGTGAAACACGAATCCGCCATTTCATTTTCCACGTTGGGGACTTCCGGAATGGATGCTTTTATTCCCGCCGTCGGCATTCGCATCTAACGCGGCGGAAGTTGAACCGTCCGTGGCCCGTATTCGCGAAAAGAAATCCAATTTAAAGTTCACTTATCAGTCACGGAGTTACTTGTATCGGTAATGTTCCTGCCCTCGACGAGTGGCTGCAGCTCAGACAATTGAGCGCCCGAACCAGCTTCTTCCACTTCTTCTTCTTCTTCTTCTTTCTCGGGAGATAAATCAAAGTTGAAGATAAATCAAAGTTGAAGATAAATCTTGCTGCTCGATAAGGAACTTTCGAAGGGAAAGATGTTCCTCTTCGTCGATACGTCCTTATCCAAAAACTCTACGCGATCTGTTTCCGACCCGTTCCTTCGAGACGCGTGGAGATCATCCGATTATTAACCGTGTTATGTACCGAGATTGCGTTCGAGGTTGGTCATCGATTTCGGTTATTTCTTGGCGAGCGAGAGGTACTACGACGTTTTGGAATATATCGGCTGTTTAAGGGACGTTTTTGGCGCGAATGTGGTTTTACGTGTAAAAATGGATAAGAAATTTGCTACGAAATTTTCATGTGGGAGGTTTATTCTCTACTGATCAGTTTGAAACCACTCTGAAACTAACTGCATGCGACCGTGGATCTAGGTAAAACAAAGATAGCGGAGTAGGTAAAACAAAGAGCGCAAAAGGTTTGTAAGAAAATTGAATTGAAATGTTTGCGGAGCACGCGTGCAATGAAATGTACAGCTTGGCTGGCGCGTCTGACTATTACTCTCTGTTTCTACTCGCGTCTGGGTTCATCGATATCGAGGTACGTCACCGTACGTTTCACCTTTTTATTTCGCTGCTGGTTGAAGTGGCCAAAACACGAGTCCCGGAAATATTCGAAATCAGCTTTTTTTCGAGAACAAAGGCCCCGCGCGGAAAAGCTTCGTTGCACATTTTCGTAATATTTTTACACAAAGAACCGCCTTCTACCCCGGATATATTCCATGAATTCTGGTTTGCTATCTACGTGCAAAGCGAAATCGCGTCGAATCCACCATGCATTCTACGAATATTGAGAATCAATTTCCTCGAGAACGGAGTTGGATATGAAAAAAAAAAAAAAAAAAAAAAAAATGATGTTTCAATCCACGTTGTTCGAATTATTTTTCCCCCGAATTTCAGTCCGTCGCAAGTTCCCAGCCGACGATAAACTTTACATGAAAATAACTGTGTGTTTCATTAACACAAGTTTCATTAACGACCCTCGACGTATCAATTCTTCAGAGCGTATTCGAACGCCTGAGATTTTATGGATGCCGTTCCTCGACCTCCACCCCGATGACGTATGTTTCAATAATTGCAGCGGTAAGAAAGCCAGCCAACGAGAGAGATAAAGTTGGCAGACGTACCCGTTCGGTTTTTGCTTGTACGACAGGCCTTAGGCTCTATTCTTACCGACTGTTTCTTATTCCGGTGGGAGGCAGGGGGATTGGTGGATTCTCGAGTGGAACGCTTACCCGGATAAAGAAAGAGCCTGGATCCGATGACAGCCAAGGGTCGCCTCTTCCACTGGGGAAAAACCAACCCCTTCAACACGAGCGCGTACCCGCAACGGCTGTATCCCGCCAGATCAGGTAATGGCGATGCGGGTCCTGTAACAAAAAGATTAAAGAAGTGAGGAACTGCGGCTCTGATCGAACCGAATAACGCTGGTACCGGTCTAAGAGACCTTGACAATTTTACTTGCGTAATTTCTAAACGAAAATAATTAACGAAAATACGTCTCTTTGTGAAAATAGATACACTGACGATTACGAAAATCGTCGTTGAAACAGTGGCACGCGCATGTATTTTGACAAAAGAAATATTGCGATGTCACTTTGAAGCCGCCGATTTTTGGTATAATAATTAATTGCATAGCGAATTGTACAAAAATATCGCTGGACGTTTCGAACGGGATGCAAGGGGTGCTGGAATAAAATGTAACATCGCGAACGTCTGGCGATATTTTCTTTTCATTCGCTAACATGTAATTAATTATTATACCAAAAATGACGGTAACTTAATTATTACTGTTCGTAAAATACACCCACACGGTTTTCATCGTCGTCAGTTCTTATACTTTTATAAAAAGAATTGAAGACTTTAAAATCTATTCGAAAACGACGCAAGAAGGATCGGTCACGTGCTCTCGAACTGCATCGTTCTTCCACGGTAACGTTTTAAATAAATGGAAATATCGCGTGCGAATCGTTGCGCATTTATCGATTCATTTTTACGAATACTTACGGCACAAGGACGTTCTCCGTGAAAGAATCGATTCGTGCTTGTTCGGTAAATAAAACGTCAGTTTCGTTAGAAAATAATGTCAAGCATGTACGCGATCGATGAACATTGAATGAATCGTTCGCAAGAGCAATGCGTCTGGAAAATACAGGCTGGTTCAAAAGTCACCGTAATTAGGTCAAGTAGTCTGTTTACACGCGTTAATAATCACGGGAATCGAAATATAACGAAGGAAACCGAGGAAGGCTCTGTATGTTTCGCGAAACTTCATACACACAAGCTCGGTAACTTTACTAAGAGCATCTCCTAACGATAACAATACGGGAAGCGCCTACAGTCGACGGTTCTCTGTTCCAGAGAATGATCTCGACGCAAGTATACGACGTTCTTCCATCGATTTACCGCTTCTCCGTGCAAGCTGTTGCAAATGTTACAAAATAGAATCCCTAGGGCTTCGGCGAAGTACCCTGGAAGAAGTTGGCCGAACAGATTTCGAATTCATGAAATTGTAATTCCCGACTGTGCGTCCTCTAGGTGCGAAATGTTATGCGCGTGGAATTTAGCAACCTCGGAAAGCGCCGGGTTGATGGAGAAAATTGAGGAATCGATTATATGAAATTCTGGCCACTCGAACTGGCGATGGAAATTCCTTTGAAAAGTATAAATAGGATCCGGCAACCGTTCATTCAAATCTCCTTTGATACACTTTTGTTAAGGAAAGGAAAACAGTCGCGCAACTAGTGCAAGCGAAATTGACATTTGCACGTGACGCGAGCGTGGATCGTTATTAATGCGGTTCGGCGTTAGAATTCACCGCGGATGTTACCGAAATTCATCGTTAGATAACATTTCATAGTGCAAAGCATGCAAATCATCCCCTAGAGACTGTATAGACCGTGCTCTCTGGAAACGGTAATGTCTATTTCATGTGCGGATGCATAAACGTTCGGAAACTATTTCCGATCGTCTTCTTTATTTTTGCGACGGGATATCCAGGGTTGTTGTTTCTACGCGAGTAGACTCTACTCAGCAGAGTCGATTAAAACTTGCTGTAAATTTCTCTCGTCGTTTCATTTTTGATACATCAACATTTAACATTCTCTTGCTTCAATTTCAGTTTCTTCTCGAGTTTTTTTTAACAGCAGAGCCTGTTACTTTTACTATTCCTTTTAGACGGAGTCTTAGAATTACCTTCATCCTTTCCAGGTACCTTTTAATGCTCTCAAAGGGTCTTAACGCGAAAGATCTCATTAATAATGCCCTTTGCCTCGGATCTTCTCTAAATACGGCCTTTCCGGTTCTACTAATGGAACAGTCAGAGGATGGGATCGGTATTACGTTCCTTTCTAATTTTCCAGCTGCTTTCGTTCCATCGACCAGTATTATTTTGCAAAATTACAGCGTGCTTTGTCTTAACTTCATTTGCGAATACCGTACGTAACGTTCGATCACGTAACGTTCAAGTTGAATACCAAAATAGAAAATAAAAGGAAAATGTTTATCTCGCTATCGCCTGAGTGGTGCACCGATACTTTACGCGTTAATTAAATAATTCCCAACGTGATCTTCAGACACTCCTCGATACGATGGGATCACGAACCCGCGATAAAGTCACGTGTTTGTTCGAGCTAGGGTCGAATGTATCCGTTCGCATATTAAACGAGAGTCTATCGAATAAATATTGACGTTCACGCGGCTGCTGATGCGGCTTCGTGTTTGCTCGTAGATTAACGAAGGTTAATTATCGCGAGCCGCAGGTATATATTATAATCGGACGTTATCTGCATACAAAGTAGTCGCACGCGCGCCATGTCATGAGAACTCGCCACGTGGCGTGCTTATGGCGACGATAAAACGTATGAAGAATTACGTCGTCTTCGATATACCCGCACGCGACCTTTCGCTTCTCTATTTTCTACCCTCGCGCGTATACCCGTGCTTCGTACTCCATTCCAATAGCGGACTGCTGAGAATTTTTGCCAAGTGCAAAGTATTTAATATTCAGTCGTGACTTCTCGTGGATGTTTTCTCTGTTTAAGTAATATGAACACGCATATCCAGAGCGTTAAACGAGAGGTTATTGAATAATACACGACATTTACGAAGATAATAAATATTCCAATTAAGAATGTTACGACCAAGATTTTTGTGCGATATTAAGTACGATGAAATGGCAATACATCTGCGAAATTTTGCATTCAGGACAACAGTAATAACATGGTGTAAAGAATTTCTTCTTCTTTTCTAATTTTAGTACTGGCTTCTTCCGAATTTCTTCTGTATTCAAATAAATCCCAGGCTGTTCGTTGCCAGCCTCATTTTCCTGTCATTGAAATTTCGATATTATCGGTTTGCAAGCAGCGCCGCAGGTAAAGCCAAATCGCGAACGGGGCCAGGTAACTTGATTCCTGCCGCTTTCACCGAATCGTCTATCGAGGACCTTTCATGGTCCCAGGTAATTACAGGACGTGCTTGGATCTTGTTACACCGTGAGTATGCTTTTAATGGCTTACCAGCCCAGCCGCGCCATCACCTTCGGCCAGGTTAATTGCGTTAGTTGGGCACTTCGTCATCTTTCAGCCCCCCAACTCGCTCGAGCCGGGTTTCGATTCCGGGACGGATGAATTTGTTGCGAAAAGAATTAATCTATGCGAACAGTGGTCGATTTTCTAGGGCACTAACTGTACTTAGTCTCTATCATTTTCTACTATCGCATTTGTCTTTACATTGCTTTGTATCTCTCCTTTAGTGCCCCAACTATAATGCATTATTGTGTATTTATGCAGTTCTATACTGCATCATTCCGTATCTTTTTGCATCAGTGTATATTATTCTGGAATGCTGTCTCCGTGCTATACTATGTTGCATCAGGTTGCATTATTCCGTATTATTCCGTGTCTACGTAGTTCTAAATAATATTTCGCAGTAAATTGTTAAAAAGATTATCGATCCATCCCCCCAAAGCAACCAGTACTCCGTTACATTTCGGTTGAACAATTTTTATTCGAGAACGAACCGATAAAAATCGTCTATTTTCAGGAAGTTCGTGCAAAGAGTCGATTAGCCGGATGAGATATTCGATAAGTTTGGTACCCCAGCCGATAAAGTATCAGCGAATGTTTATCGGTCGTTACTTGAACACCGAGCAAACGGCCCTTGCGACGTTTCGCTCGGGCGCAGGAGTTGGCGAGTCGTTGAACGTTAATTTTAGAAATGGACGAAGTATCGTTTGCGTCAGGCCGCGTTAGTTTCTGTTCTAACTTCCGCGTCGAGTTCCATTTGTCATTATACTAAACTTCCCGGCGGCAACTTTCGGCCCTCGGGCCGGAAATTTCCCTGTATTGGACAGGCTCCCGAAGCGCCCGCCGGTTTCTGCTTCCCGTTGGCTAAATATTTATATTACCAGTTAGCTACGCGAGTCGCGCGCCGCGCAATAACGCTGTTACTCGCACGCGAGCTGCAATTAAGGTAAAAGCACCGGTAATGGACACCTTTAAGGCTTTTTTTCCAGCGAGAAAACCAACGTTTCGCTTCTTATTGGATCGCTGCGCCCAAATCACTGGGGCCAGATGGCGAACTCTCCCCTGTGTGGCTTAAAAAGGGACAGAAAGATGCCGAGGTAATTTTTGTGCTTGCGGTCCTTTGGGCTTTCATTTTACAGGGGTTTCGAGTAAGAAATTAATGCAGGCAGGAGGCACTCTTTAATTTTTTGGTCGAGTTTCAAAAAATGGGATAACCTTTGGATCGGGTTGATTTTTGATCGTAGGTAGCCCTTGGTCTGGCGATTACAATGGACGTCTTGATCCTCAAAAACTGTAATGGTCCAAAAAGTGTTTTTTTTTTTTGCACCAATCTCGATGAATACATTACTTCCAATTGTTTCTTTTCCGTGGAAGAACATCAGTTTTCTAGATTAACGGTATTCAATATTCCCGCCCCATCGAAAACTACCCGAAACCTAATCAGACAGTAGATTTCGGAGCCTGACGCTACGATGGTCCTCCGCGTACTTTTAATGTTTTTAACGCTTTAAATTAAATCACCGTCTTCGAGTCTCGACTTCCCTGAAAACGTTAAAATATTCGAATAGAATGTAACATCGGCAAAGAAATACCTTCGAATGTTCTGAAAATGAAGCAGCGGTAATTAATGGGTCAACAGAGACAATAGCCATCAACCAGCGTCACCGATTTCCCTACATCGCAGCTTCGTTCCCAACAATTTAAATATTTAATCGCGTCACGGGTCCGCGCTGAATCGAGCGACTTCTCGGGGAGAAGAATCGCTCCCTTCCGATATTAATTCAATATTCTTTCCCCGATACGGGCGACCGTATTGGACCGGATATTTCCGAGGCCAAGGATTAAGAGCGTAAGTTAGGCGGCAGAAGTTTTTAACAGGGGCTGTTTGAAGTTTCTGAAATATTACCCTAAAGCCGTCGCTCGCGTCGCGTTATTTGTGGCGGGATCGATTTTAAGTTTCGAAGAATAACGCCCCGCTGTAAATTCCGTATTCAAGGGGGGTTAACTTTGAATTTGAATGGGACGCTCCAAGTGCGAAGCAACTTTGGATAAATTATCGTTTTAATCTCCGCGCTGATACAATCTCGGTGTGCCTACGAATTAATTAACGGTTCGGTTCGTTATTTCGCGACGCGATATATCTTCCACTAGTTCCATTGTTCGATATTTATGTAATTATTCATGTAAAAGTTGTCGTATTAACAGCAAACGTCGATTCATTATCTAGAATATACTTTATATAGCCGGTGGCCAAAATGAGATCAACGCTTCGTACCTTCGTTCTTCTTTTTGCACGAGTAATTTAATCAAAATATCGAACGGTATCGCGGAAAAAAAAAATATTGAATTGGGTCCCGTATTAAGTTTATTATGTCTTTCGCGACCGACCGATGTTATCCAGACAATGCTTAGCCGCTTTAAACGAACTCTGCCAGGAATATTCCCAATGAACATTCCCGTCGTAATTTAAATACTCACGTAAATGTTATTTCTCGATTCGATCTCGCTCGCCCTAAATAACACGAGAGGAATATTCTTTTTATCCGTAAAAAAGGTTCGGGTTCGGAGTGGTCGAAGTGGCTCCACGCCAGGGGATTAAAGCGGAGTACTCCGCGCGATAAATACATTTTTCACCCCCGGAGTAGTATTGCCCTCGAAACCGCCATTTTCGAAGCGAGTATCAATTTTACCTGGCTGCAGGCGGTGGGCGTCGGATTCCTTCGAGATTAAATGACAGGTTCGCGCGTGCGCCTCCTCCGTCTCGAAGATAGGAGACTATGGCCCAGTTCACGCGTGCCACGGTAATTATAACGTTATTGCCGCTATTAATGAGCAATTTCAGGGCTTCTGTGCCGTCGCACGACGCCCGCGTAAACTCCAAGTACATTATACGAAGTTACCTTATACAATTTGCCTGGCTAATTAAGTTAAAGCGTTATATGTCAAGCTTGGTTACGTGATACCAGCTCGCGACTGACAAAAACTCCTCCTTTTTCCTCGCCGCTACGAAAAGTCCCTACTCCCCCTCGAGGAAAGTCCGTCGAGCCGTATTTCGTCGCGAGCAACTGGTAAACCGAGTTCATAACTGTCGCGGAACAGCGCGAAACTTTTCGAATTCCTCGAATTTTTCCGACAATAAGTTCACCCGTGTTTGGGGTGGACGGGACTTCGCCAAGGCGAAGAATACGAGAGGAAGTTAGAGCGGATCCTCGTTTTTATTTTGTATTTATTCGACGGAGAATTTTCGCAGCGCGTATTCTATTACGTTTCTAGCCGGAATCATTCTTATAGTATAAAGCGCTAGGGTTGCAACGTATCCCTCAGTCCCTCTCATAAAATATATTAACACGTTGATCGCCATATTTGGATGACGGTGCTTTTCACCGAAGAACTGAAAAAAAATAAATTTGAACGAAATTCTTCAATTTCGATGAAGTCATTAAAATAAATACCACGATAGATGGTATTAAATCAATTTTAAAAAATCGTTACGTTACGTTATCGCGTTAAATCAATTTTTAAAAAAAATATCAGCTTATAGGGGATGACGAGACGAAGCTGTTTTATATTTACAGTTTATTCGTAGGATGGTTAGTTTCGGAAATAAAAATTGAAAAGTTACGAGTTCGTTGCATAAAATTGAATTTTAACAAAACGATCTTCGAAGTTTTCAATTTTTATCTCTGAAACTAAACGTTCTATGAATAATCTATAAATATAAAAAAAGTTTCATCTTATCATTCCCTATAGACTGACATTTTTTTAAAATTCGCACCTCTACGTCTCTCAGAATTTCCAGTAAGAATCGTCCCGCGGTCAAAGGGTTAACTAGGTATCGTAGCCAATCCTCGCTCCATAAATAATAAAAATACGAACAAATGACGAAAATAGTATTCGAAAAATTCCTTAAAAACAAGCATACCTGCTACAAATTCCCCCCCTCTCGTGATTGTTTGGGACGTACAAGCTTGTACGAGACTCGGTTGCCAATAACAACATCAAACCAGGTTTCTCCGTCTGTCGATCGATGGTCAAGTCACACAGAAACGTCGAAGCTGCACCGAAAGTGCAACTATCTTCTTGTCGGCATTTGCAATTGCACAGCGGAGGAATAACGTCGAGGCAGCCCGGGGAAACTTGACTCAAAAGCTCCGAATTCAACGTGGACAGTCTCAAGTAGAGAAGCTAACTCTTTGAAGCGATCGTCAGTTTGCTATGAAACGCGCCAAGGAACGCTTTCGGCGGCTATTCAATCGAATGTATCGCTCGAACCGATGTGCTTGCTTCGCCGAATTAACAAGGCACATTCTGCGAGGCCATACAAATTATTTACGCGGCTCCGCGATATATTCATTTGGACGAGCATTTATCGACGATGCGTACACGGCTGACTCTATGAAGTGTAATTACATTTTTAATGAACGTTGAAATTAGGTCGTGCAAGCAATATTCGTCGGGAACGTAAATTTTCCATGCATCGCATTTATATTATTCGCAATATTTACATGCTGCCTGGAAGACCTAATTTTGACGTTTATTAAAAATACGAACAGAAAGTATCGTTGAGATTTAGTTTACAATTACGATACGTTAGTACTCTGTTCGCTGCAAAAGTATCAGTAGGTACTCGTTTGTAGAATTTCATTCCAGAAAATTTCTTGAATTATTTCTACTATTTCGTTACTTGTCTTCGTTATTGTGACGTCAGTGTTCCCTCGAGAGAGATGTTCTAACGAACACGAATAATTATTCAAAAAAGCACCAGAGCGTTTATGGACCCCCAAACATAAAATTTAACACGTTGATCGTCAGACTGGAACTCTTCAAAATTTCTACTGTGATTGAATATTGCTTACAGACTATCGGAAACTGCACAATCAAACTCAGCTTTCAGAATTAATTTTATTAGTTGTTCAGTTAAAAGCACTGTCAATAAAATATTAACGATCTTTCAACGTTATAATAAAATATTCTCAATTTATAATTTCTGTTCACAGAACGAAACACTATTGACCCGAAGATTACATACAAAAGATGTAGAAGACGCAGGATCTCTCGCACATATCTCTTTCATTCGGAGCCGACAGAGGAGTTTCGCACACCTTTCTTGCTGCACAAACAGTCCAAGGTATTTCTCCGGAATCCACAATCCCGGTATAATAGCGCCTTAATTAAAAAAGAAAGCAACTGGAACGGGAGAATTCATCCCCCTCCGAAATAAAATAAGATAGAGTAACAAGAACTTGTGTCCATTCCGAAATCCCGGTGGATTAAATACCCAGCGTTGCGTTTATCTCGCTACGAGTAGCAATTTATCTTTATTATTCCAATTTGCGCGAACGTTTCAACGTTTATTATGTTAAGTCTGTTTCGTCGTCGGCGAGGGCGGAACGAGGAGGATCGATGGCGGGAAGAAAACTTGTACCGCGGTCCCGGGGGGTGTTTTTCGAGTGAAAATTGATTATGCTGGGGAGGATGGTGACCTTGACCAACCAGTTCACTACGTTACGCAAGAATATTTTGGTTTTGATGTTTAAACATGAAAATAAAGCAGAAGAAAACGTTCAATTTGCTCTTTTTGTTGAAGTGTTATTAGTTAGTAGAATAATTCTTGGGCTTAGAAATAATATATATTAATGTTCTATTAACCACACGCTTCGCTTTCGTCAAACTAATAATCGACACTATCGATCGCCACTAACACTAATAAAATAAATGCAAAATTCCAGACGATATTTCTTTGCGAGCTTCAGTAATTACCATACGTAAGCCCCGAAACTCCCTTAAAATTGCACGTGGCAAGTAAGCGAAACATGATCCATTTCCTGCGAGCCAAGGTGCGACGCGTACACCCGAATGCTATCGCGCAATTTGCATAGATATACGTTACGGTAGAATTTCACCGAGAGTACTCCAAACAGATTATACCGGCGTCGAAGATTGGCGTTGCACGCGCGACACGTTCGACGACCTTTGGAACAGTAAATTCATCTGACCAGGTTCGCGGAGCCACGGGACCTGACCATGTTTAACCATAATAACCGCTAACGACTGAGAGTTTCCACGGCGGAACTCCCGGATACGAGGCGCTCGCCTTCCCTGGGAAAACGAACCCCGGCCGGCTGCCTAAGCTGAAACGCTAAATGTCGATTACAGACCGGCCAACAGTTCGGAATTTCGCTTTTGGGTAACCTCTCCACTCGTTACAAAGGGCTGACTTACCGCTAGGAAACTCCGTGACGATTTCATCGTCGATGGAACGCGGCGACTCCGTGGAACTGCGCGATGAAGAAGAATTACGCGAAGAATTTTCGGAGATTAAGATTTTCATTGACCGGGTGACGTCTTACGATTCGGTTGGTGGAATTGAAATTGAAGGGAAGAGTGTCGACGTGGGTCTTTCGCGTGTGGTCTGGGTTAGGTCATGGCGGATTATTGATAACAAACGCACTGGCGATACGAGGCTATATCGTTCGATTATTGAAATCTTGCGTGGAATTTTAAAATAGGAAAAAATAGAATTAAAATTTGGAGGAAAGTTAGAGGGTGTTGTCGTGGTCGGGTGGAGAAAAAGGAATTGAAATCGAAAAGGAAGTAGAGGGTGTTGTACTAGTTGAATGGAAAAATTGAAGGGGAAGTAGAGTTTGAAATTATAAAAATTGAATACGAGTAACACATTTTTTGATATCGAATCAAGGCTTGGTGACATTGCAATCATAAGAGAAAATAGATGGTGTCGTCGTATTCCTCTCACGCATTCCCTTCAGCCCAAGTACCATTCTCCCGTGTTCCAAGTACAAGCACGAGTGGCATCTGTGCAATCCAGATCGTAGTCCCGAGTATGAATGACAATGTCTCGGAGCAGCGCGGTCGAGATTAATCGAATATTCATAACCCTAAAATTATCGATCGCGAAAGAGTAGCCGAGGAATGAACGAATCGTAAGAATACGCGCGAGTGTGTTCCTTCCATTGAAAAGCGGAGCAGAGAGATTCGTGTTGAACGGAACCCAAACAGGAGATCGGGACGTTTAACGAAGACTAGGCACGTGCTTGTACGCGGAAGCCATTGTTTGAAAACGTGATAGAGAGCTCAAGGCTGGAATTTAGCGCACTCGTGTTTCGAGGATTGAGAATTAGTTAAGGTTGACTTTAGGGAATCAGTGACACAGTCGTCGGAGAGACGGAGAGTTCCAAGCTGGAATCTGGAATAGTTCGCAGAAAACGCGAGACTTTGCGTTACTCCATAAAATGTTAGTGTAGGATGTTAGTGTAGTCGAACAATGTTAAGGTAGGAAGATCAGAGAAAAAGGAAATAGAGTTTACAGCAATGAAATAGTTAAATCTGACGTACTTTCCATTTTCGAAAGGCGAATTCGACATTGAGTCGAATCGCACTATCAATTCCAGCATAGGGAGGCGGAACATAGTTGCGAAACGGCATTTAATTACAGTCTCGAAGCGGCGTCTATATCCTCGGCTCTAACAACGTGTATCTCTCGGACGGAAGGGTTGGAAACGCTCGAATAAGCGTGTATATAAGGTAGCAGGCAATTAGTAGCGTTATTTGATGGGCAAACAGCGATTAACCATTCCGAAGTGCCGGAGGGTTGGAGAAGGGCTGGGACGAAGAGTAACCGAGACTTTGTTAAGGTCATAGTCTGGACCGGAGATTGTTCCCGACTACCATGGACTTCCTCACGGGTCTAGTCGAAACCAGATATGCAGTTACACGACGGAATAATATGGAGGGTTTGTAATTCGTTCGTTGATCGTTTGCTTGAAAAACAATAATGTTGTTATTATTCCTGCGAGCAATGTTTCTTCGGGAGTGGTTCATATTTCTGCCGCCCAGGAAAATAACGAAACTACGTTTTAACGAACGCGATGAATGCTTAAACGATGCATTCAATTTACGAAAAATTAAATCATTTGAAAATTCACCTTTCATCCAGCATAAAAAGTCACGGATTTAATCGAAATTAATCGAATTATACGCGGACCGTCTTTATTGCGAACGTTAATTACGAAATCAATTGGTGTAGGTCCGTCGATCGATCATTTACAAGCGCATAATTTCGCGCGTTAATCGTGCTAATTACGAGGACGTCGGAAAATACCGATAAGTATATAATTCAAGCGCAATGGTGAATTCCAGGGCGGGAAGTTCATAGGATCAATCTACTTGACCGCTCAGTAGGGTTTTACGAATATTCTTTGCGCGTATTTTTCAATAGCGTCAAACAAATAGTAATTACAAATTACAACGTACGGGACAAAAAGAAAAGTTTGTAATCAGTTAAATTATGATTAAAAAGAAAACGACTTTTTAGTTTTTACTTCTTCTTTTTGAAACTAAACGTCCGATGAATTGTAAGTATAAAATAGTTTCGTCTTGTCATATTCTATAAGGCGATACGTCTTAAATATCGATTCGACGGATTCGAAAGTGTCTGAATTTCATTTACGGGGACAACTCGTTACTCTCCATTATCGCATAATTGGTGTCACAGTATCGCAACCAACGGTATACCTAGATTTGCGTATGAAACAGTGGAAAAGGAGAAAAATGTGGATGCGCGTTCAAGTCACGCCGAAAACGTGTGTTGTCGGTATCATCGCGACGATAGCGGAAAATTATAGGGAACAATGGACATCCGATTTCCGGTGACCATTCACGAGGAGGAATCCGGTCGCGTTAAACTGTGCGGTTAGTTGATCGTACGATTAACAGGCAACAATGGTTTCGACGTGGATTCTATTATAGAATAGGTCGAAAATTAATCGTTTCGAAAATAAGACATACTTTCGTTCGAGTTTCGATTGATTTTCTCTATCTCTGAAAATTGGAATTTGCACTATCGATATGTATCAATACGTTTTCTGTTCGAAACTTCTTGAATGACTTCCATTCGCATTCATTTTTTAATTGTATATTTGCCAGGGTTTGTAAACGTCGTCCTCGATGGAAGGACGAGTCTACCCGTCCTCGAGAACGTTGTTCCTCGCGAAATTTCGTTACGAGTCCTGGGATTCCCCCGTCGTTGGCGTGAGTTTGAAAATTTAAAGGGTGCAAATGAGAACTGGCGCGAACCAGACGAGGCTTTTCCTCGCGTTCTCTCTCCCAACGTGAACAGAGATTCCTCGAGTTTCCGTTAGTTTTCCTCGTCACAGTTTTTCCGAGGGGCATTCTCGCTTGTAATTTCTCCAGTCGACGCAACTCGCGCAACTCCCTCGGGTCCGCGAAACGTAAACAACGCGAGTCCAGGGTTTTTTTATCGATGTCATTTCAGCAGATTAAAATTCTCCGGGAGCTCCGTGTTACCTCTGCCATGCAAACGTATTTCCTTGTTTTTCCTTCCGGCGCTGCGAATCGCTGGCACTCGGACTTAATCGGCGTTCTTGCGACAGGGAACGCGTACGCAGAAGCTTTAAAAAAAAAAAAAAATTCTATTCTGATCAGTTCGCGTCTACTTGGGGATGTTTCGATGCTTGTACTTTTATTTTCAGCGACTAGAACCCTCGAGAGCTGTGCGTGCGTTTGGAGGACACCTGTATTTCTACCGCCGTACGTTTTACCAACTTGACGGCTGTTTCGATGCCACGGACCTTTTTATTATTCAAGCGCCAATCGAGAGAAATGAGTCGGAAAACACGCCAACTCCTCGGCACGCAACGCTAAAATAAACGTTTCCGGATACGAATAAACTGTACTCACCCACGTGGAAAGCAACGAGGTGTCGTAATTCAGGATCGACCCCCAGTCGAGACCGCCTCGACACGTCCTGGTAGCCGAGCTTTTGGAGAAATTGGTCCTGTATCTCCAACGGTTTTTCGTGGCTGCCCAGTCTCCTCCCAGCTTCGCCGCCATACTGAAAAAAAAAAAAACAAACAAACGTAATCTCTTAATGGATCTTATTAAATAGCGTGGTGAAAAATCACCGAGTCGTTTTCTCTCTTGAGAATTCTTTTTGTTTACTCGATTCATTCGAGGACATTAATATAATTGTGTACATCAACTTTTCGTACTTGTTTTCGATACTCTGCAGGGTGGACCAAGCAAGTGTGACGAGCCATAACTCCGTTATCGATGGGTTTAGGGAAAAGATGAGCGGCTCAAAGAGTACTTCGTAGGATTTTTGTAGGACCACATTTTCATTTTTTAGTTGTATTATTTTGTTAGATGGGAATACGTCGTTCTGCATTGAAAAGTATTTGTCACGCTTGCTTGGTCCACCTTGTACGTATTTCTAATTAAATTTTCCCTTCCTGGTTCTCGATAAAAATCCAGGTTCAAATTCCAAATAACTACTTTATCGTTCTTGCCCTAGGATTTTAATATCCCCGGCCAAAAAATTGCTCTCGCTCTTGGCTGTTCGAGCATCCAGCGAGTTCGAAACTTTAAGATCCAGCTACGCTGTAAGACAGCTCCCTCTTATAAGAAACTGTTCCCCCGGTTCGTCAAGCAGAGCTCTGAGCGTCGCGTAAATCGAAAAGTTTCTTGGAAAAAAAACGTCGCAGTTCGGTCGAACACCCTTTTTAAGCGCAATCAACCGGAATACGGGGAACTTTGATCTTCCTGGCATCGCGAAATCGTTTTTTACCCACCTTTCACCCTTCGATCCTCGAACCGTGACGATTTCCATGCATTCATTTCGATCTCGGAGTCACTCTCGTACAGTGTCGCTCGAAAGTTTCGGGACGTCTGTCGTTTTTAACGATATTTTACCATTTCGAGTAAATATTGTAGCTGAATGCACGAGTACTTTTTTATTCGAATATTGATAACGATACTTGAATGTCCATAAAATATTTACGTATTAACATTCGAACATCCGTAAAATATTTAAAGTAGGAATAAAATATCGGAGTGGCCCAGAGATATTGGATCGCGATTGCTGGCCGTTGCATGGATTTATAAAAATGAAAGCTAATCCAATGTTGCATCGTGGTGTACAGCGTTCCATTTGCGGACGACACGGATTCCTATTCATTGACACGGAAACGAATCGCGCGGCGACGGTTAAAAGTTTATTTCGCGAATTATTAAAAATAATCGAACTCGCGCGCGATTTTTTTGTATCGTTTCGCTCGCCGTAATTAAAATATCTCGTTTCTGCCCGGAACGGGTTCACGAAACGCGTCGTTTTTTCGTACGCGATTTTTTCGCATTAGCGTGCATTGTAACGCTTCGCGTGAAAATACCTGTTCGGGAAAAGGATTGCCCTGTAATTTCAGAAACGAGTAAAGCTAACTGTTCCATTTTTTATTCTGCGAGTCATTCGCATGGGAGAGTCAACCTAACGACACATTACGTTTAAATAGTATCTTTGGCTGTAACGGTCACATTTTGCTGAAAATCCGTTCATCAATTTTCTTCCCAAAATTCTTTCGCTACCAGCAGTATCCTTTTTCATTTTACAAAATTATTTCTATCGAACGAACCCGGTGGAATTTTAAAACACGTTTCTGCAGCCTAGCTTGCAATTTCGATGATTTCTCGATCGAAATTGCAAGCTCGAAACGCAACGTAAGATGTTCGACAGCTTATTAGGTGAATCTTGACGTCCATGAATGAAACAACAGCCGCTAAGGGTGGTCCATCTATCTCTGCTAACAACGGATAGACGCGTGCACATAAAGGCCGCCTATAGAGCATGCAATACTCCTGCAATACTCCCGAGACGCAACCGTGGATTATTCCCTTTCTCGTAAGTTCAGCAATTCGCAGCGTAACTTCCTTTGGAACCGCTATCACCGCCGACAAAGCTCGCGTAGCCGTGTACCCGAATTGCCATAAAAGCGCATCCTCGACGAAGACAACCTGCTCGTCCTCGTCGCGCTCAATGCGGTGTCCAATCTAATGAGGATTTCGCTCCAAGTTCTGTTCAACATCCGCCGCGTTAATTTCGCTCGACGAATTGTCGATGCGATCGTGATAACGCACAGAGTGCTCCGAAATGCAGTCGAATGTGATCGACGTGTTCCTTTTCAGGATATTATTATTAGAATATTATTATTTACGTACTACCGTCGTTCGTCGTTGAAAATTTGACTGTTTCACAAAATCGAGTGTAAGCTTTACTAAAGTCGAACGTGTTATCTAATCTCACGAGTTTCTTAAACTTACACCAAAAATTTGAAGTCACCAGCTCTTCGTGTTAATCTAGTCGACACGAGGATGATACACGAGATGATAAATTAGCACAAAAATATTGGTCGATCGTTTGGGACGTGTCATTCGCGTTGAATTCGACAGAAAATTTTCGCCGGTGCATGTTTATACGAATTCATATTCGTACAGATTCACGAATCGAACTTTAAAGAGAAGCACCTACGTCTCATCGTCTGAATAGCGCAACAAGTAGTCCATTATCGATATTTACATTCTTACGTCTCCACTCGCCATAAATGTATAAACATCCGTAGTCCAGTTACCATTGTCTAGAGCGTAAGCTTTTCTCTGCTCGATTACTATGCACTAACCTAAAGACGAAATTCTTTCCGAGGAGCACGAGATTCCTCCATCCGCCCACGTCTCGTCTTCAAAGAAACGAGATATTGCGAGCGTACCAAGCTCGAGAGAAGATGCTTCTCTGGAAAAAAGGTTCCCCGTTCTATCATCCATTTTCTGATCAGTCGATTCGATTTCCTCGAACGATCTATCCGTCAACGTGGAAACGTATCGTCACGTATGCTCGTCGTCGGTCCCTCGGGGTGACTCTAGACGGAAATAAATGGTACCGACCGAATTCACCTTTGCAGCGACGCGCGGTGGAAAGGTCTTTAACGAAGCTTCATTAAAACCATCGTTATTTCGGTGGCCATTTGCGTATTCGATCAACTCGTCTGGCCACCATTCCATCTACAATCGGGATGGATTGGTAGCCGTTATCGCGGATTCGTGATCTTATTCTAATTGCTGAATTTCGTCGCTATTTGATTATTTCAAAACTTTTAACCAGTGAGCGAGAGTATCGAGAGTATACTCGTTACGGAGAAAAGGGAGTATTTTGTGTCGCGATGAGAATAATCGTCACCCGTAAAATTTCCACTGGTTATTTAAGAGTATGCTTCACATATTAATTCGAGTAGCAGAAGAACAAGCGGCGTGAATTTTTGCCGCGATCTAATATATCTCTGCGATCCAATGTTAGACTGGTTAACATCTGAATTATTTAGAACGTGTTCCTTAGAAATAGGAGGCATTTTGCTGACATACATTTCATTAAAGAAATATTACTCGCGCTGAATTACGATTGTTCCGTTTCCTTTGAAGAAGTAATTACAATTTTCTCAGAGGAAAAGTTTTCCTAACAAAAAGACGTACCTCGGTGACGACGACTTCGGTGACAACAGGATGCCCGACTCTGTTCATTTTTAGGCGAGAAAAAAACGTTTTCGCGAGCAGTAGGGTTCTGTTCCTAGAATGACAATCTTTAATTAAAATTTAATGTAACGTCTATATTTACTAAAAGATGTAGACCGGTATCAACGACTGTCCGCAGTTTCTTTCATCCTTTCTGCGCGATTACACTTTTCATTAGATAAATCCGACTCCTTTGAGAGGATCGCCGTCGTATTATGCGACCCGAGCTCGTGTTATTTGCAGTTCCTTCATTACGGGAATATTTCATATCATTTTATGCCATTCAGAGAGCATGGAAAATAATACGTGATTTCGGAACGTCTTGACGTTTTTAATGGTTCACAGTTAATCTCGCGATCCCTCGAGATTTGGCACTGGACGTAAGGCTCAATTACGAACGTGTTTTTATTTTTTATTCGTTCGTAAGATACTAGCCCTTTGCACTCGAGGTCTCTTTTCCTGGTATTCTATTGCCATGAATTCTAAGCTATCTAGATTTGAGAATAAGGTCACCTTTACCTCGCCGATAATCATTTTATCGACACTTCGAGCTCCAAAGAAATGAAACCTAAAGAAACATCAGGCATCGTAGATTTGCTGCGTGAAACCCAATGGTGACTGAGAGTCACCTCTCGAGCGCAAAGTGTTAGCGAACAGTGTCGTTAAAGCAAAACACGTAAAGAAATCGGCCTGCCTCGCCAACTATTCTATTTTAACGTCGCCGTGACTCGTACAAAACAACTTTGACCAAAGTTTCAGGCCTGAGCTAGTTCGTTGATCCCCCTAAAAGCAGGATTTCGTAAACGTCAGGCTTCAACTCGCTGCGAAATTAAAATCACCCTCGATGTAATCTATAATCTAGCAGGTCTCTGGGACCGTATGCACGAAAGGGTTAAGCTTTCCGAAGAGCGTGGTTCGTCGTTGGGCATTTTCCGAGCGGAGTGGTCGCGGCTATTTGGACTCCGTCGTTACGGCACAAAGGATTCAAAGGGAAACGAGCGGAAAGAAAGAGAAACGGCGCGGGGCGGGTTAAAAAGAAAAGTCGGGGAGAGCGAGAACGGGGGTGAAATTGGCGCGAAAAGAAAGAGCCCGACAATCCGAATGGTTTTAGCTTTAAAATCCTCGTTAACGTCGTAAAAGCCTTATTTTCGTTCGATAGAAACGACATTATCGATCCAACGTTACCACACAAGAGAAACTAGGCTACCTGCATCCCTCCAGAGGTTCGCACGTAATTAACAAAACTCATTATAAACGTCCAGCACGTGGACATATCTAGGCTCGCCGTGGCGATTCGTTCCTCGTAACGAACGGTTCTGGAATACTAGACGAACCGTCTACTGGCTTCCTGATGTGATATTCGGACACAGATATTAAAAAATTAAGACGCACAATCACACCTGATCTAGTCTGTAGACGCTATTCGCCGTTCCTTGACGAGAGTCATTTTTCAGCTCGATCGAAGATCTTAAGCACTCTTTTCGTCGCGAACATGACAAGGTG